AATTGTTGGCATATTTATCTGCATGAAAATTTTACATCTTTCTAAGATGAAAGATACCATAAATAAAGTTAAAACACAAACAATGGGTAAAATATATGCCTCAATTATTACAGACAACACAAGCAATCATTCTAATCAATATCCAAAATATCTGAAGAATGACTACAACGTGATAAGAAAAAGTAAACAATCCAATAAAAATATAAACATGAGATAGAGCAGACAACTCACAGACCCAACATGCAAATAGACTATGAACATGGTAAGATTCTCAACTTTACTAGGGATAGGAAAAGGCACACTAAAATAAATTAAGACATCATATCAGTATTTATTAAAAGTTTTTACAGCCCTGGCTGGTGTGGCTCAGTAGATTGAGTGCTAGCCTGGGAATCAAAGGGTCCCTGGTTCAATTCCCAGGCAGGGCACATGCCTGGGTTGCAGGCTAGGTCCCCGATGGGGGGCTTGAAAGAAGCAACCACACACATTGATGTTTCTCTACCTTTTTTTTCTCCCTCTCTTCCCCTCTCTCTAAAAATAAATAAATAAATGAAGTCTTTTAAAAAATAAAATAAAAGTTTTTACAGAGATGGACACATTGAACCCTGCTTCAAGAAGTAGAAGTAGGCACAGTATTTTAGGAGGGTCGTTACCAAAACCTTACCTGCACCTACCGTTATCCAGAAACACCCAACTGTTCTGAGGAAATAAATACACAGAACACATCCACCGTGGCATTTGTTTGTAACAATGAATTTCCATGTATCAGAAACCAAGACAGAGAAGAAAGAAACACACACATGCAGGGGCAGGGGCAACAGGAACGGAGCACTGTGCAGTGACCGTGCAGGCTTGGGGCCACGTCTGAGCAGGCGCACTGTGCCCGTGACGAGGCCTTGCCACCTCTCCCTGGAGCCGGTTCTCAGAACTGCACCCAGGCGTAGGGCGTGCACCTCCCCAGGTGTGTGGTCACCTGGGAGCTCAGCCTCCTGGTTAGGGTTGTGGGCTCAGAGTTGCACACTGAGGGGCTGGGTCTCCTTGCTTCCTGCGTTCTGAGAGGAGGTCTCCTCTCCTTCTAGTCTCTTCCTCCCACCTCCATTCTCCCTCATGGGGTCTGCGGCAGAGGGGGTGTGCCGTCCCAGCTGTGGCTGAGCACTGCGGTCCAAGGAGCAGAGAAAAGAGCCCTGGCTGGCCACCCACGTCCACTGCCGTTTAACAGCCGCTCCCCTCCCCCAGCCCAATGGCAGGCAAACATTTTAGTCCCCTTCAGAGAAGGTCAGCTCTGTATTATGTTCCCCTTTGGTTTTTTCCTGAGGCAGTTACTGTAAATGGCTTGATGCTTTCCTCAACCTTGGAAAGGGGCCACCTTTTGCTCTCCTGGACCTTGCGAAAGGTAATATACCTGCGCAAGTTTAGGTGGGGATTTGCACACTTACTGGGTCCAGGCGCCCATAATCCAGGTGCAAAGTTGATTGAAATAACTGACTCAGGTTATCAACATTCTTCTTAAAGTCTTTATAGCGACACTGTCAAACTTACTTGGATGTGTAGAGAGCTAATCCTGAAAGAACAAAGAAAAAGACAGAAGGGTCTCCTACAAAGGGTCCCTCGAGAAAGTAGAAGTTCCTTTAAGAGAAATAATCAACCCATTAAAAAAATGATTGTGTCTGAAGCCCAATTTCCCTGGCAACATTTCCTCAGTGACCCCATTCTATTCTGGTTCCACCCCCAATGGGCTGGGCCCAAGGCAGTGGCCAGGGCCCAGTGCCTGGGGCCTTCGGGGGTGGTTTGTGTGGCCAGCCCCCTGGGTGTCAGGTCTCCTGAGGGCCAGAGTCAGGGCCCTTTCCAGAAAGGCTTTTTCCAGGCTAACAATTTGTCAAAGTATAAGTTTTTTCAAAATTACAATATGACTCACTCAAATATAAAATAAATACGTGTCAAAGATTTTATTCAACCCACTAATTTATGAATGGACCAGTAGTAATATGGTAGAAAATGGCTCAGAAAGCAGCTGAGGAACTGGATATTTAGAAGCAGCTTAATACAGAAATGTTGGGATAAGATTGCTGGCCTTTACAGAGCTGGTTGATGTCCCACAGGGCAATACATTTGGGGCTATTTTTTCCCCCCTAGACAGAAATTATTTGCAACTCTACTGGACAAAAATCTGCAAGTTAGATATACAAGTGCACAAAGCCTGGGACCTTCCAGTACTAGTAAACAGTGGTCGAAAAGTCCACCGCAATCAGTACATAATCCTCAGTTGTGCCAGTGCCCCGCACAATGCCGGAAACACACATTGCCCAACTTTTGGCCTTATTTAGAAATTTTAAATAATTTTTTCTCAAAATGATTTTCCTCTGACCGAACAGGTGCTGTTTCTTTGACAAGGGAGCCAGGGGAGGGTGTGGCCGACACAGAGCAGCCCTCCCGGAGCTGGGGAAGGTCTGACATCCTGGGAGGTGAAGCACCATCTCAAAGGAACTCCCTCGTCGTTTTTCTCCACTACAGTCTCTTTACGAAACTCGGTCGCTGGCAAACTCTGAGTTTGGGCTGGCTCTTTGAAAAAGCGTCATCAAGGTACATCCTCCAAAGCCCACCCACCACCCCTCCAAATGGACAGGACTCTTGAGCTCCCTGTTCCCTCAGGGCCCGCATTTGGCTGGTGGCGCCTTCTTCTCTCCATTGCGTAAGGCACGGAGCCCAAGTTCCCTTCCCAGCTACTTGTGCAAGCTAAGAGAGGATGCTGCTTAGTTCTTTAATACAAAGGAAGTCCCCAGAGGTGGGAAATGCCCTTGACCTTGGAGAGTTCATGCTGGTGGGGCAGTGGAAGGGTGTCCATGACTCTTTCCACCCCTCAGACCCCTCAGGACCCAACTAGGGATGAGGGTCTGCAGCTCAGGGAGGAGTCGGTGGGCTTCTTCCTCTCGCTCAATGTGTGCGTGCCCCTCACTACCCATGTGACAAAAAGCCTGATGGTGGGCACTATGCCAGCTGACAGGCGCAGAACTGTTGGTCTGACTTCCTTGGAGAAAAACAAAAGAAGGGACGTAACAAGGGACAATCAGTGCCCAAACTTTGGGCTGGTGCGGGGAGAGGCTGCGAAATGAGTGATTGTTCCTTCTGTCCCTGAACGGTGCAGACCAAACACCACCTTTTAATGACAGCCTCCTCTTCTGTGTGTCAACCCATGTGGCTGGCAGGCGTTCTTTGTGAGGAATAGTCTCTCCTGGTGCCTTGAGAATGCCCCAAGGGCCAAGGAGTCATGGTCACTGAACTCCAGGAGCCAGAATTGTAGAGGGGAAAAAACACAGTCACATAAAGACACTTGCAAATGTGCCTTGTGAGACATTTATGCAAGTTCCAACTATTGGGCAACTTGAAGAGAGGAAGAGGTGCCTGCACAGAAAGGTGGAGTTGACCCGAGATGATGCTGGAAAAGGCTGGCGTAGGGTGGGTGTTTCATGGGGAGGAAGGGGAGGCGCGGGTCCTTCCCTTCCCACTTAGAGCCCCCTGGGAGTCCATTGTTTCTAGACACAGGCTTCTGTGTATTTCTGGAGGCCTCCGAGTGGTGGTGCCTGGATCTGCAGGCGCTGGCAGGTGGGGTCCGCCCGCATCCTGGCAGGACTGTGCCTGGGGCCACAGGAGTGGACGGTACCTCCTGCCTTCGCATTCTTGTTGTGACAGCCTCATCCCAGTCCGGCCACCTGGGGGAGCCCAGGGGAAGGGCAATGAGAAACCAGGACTCACATTTCCATACAGCCCCTCCATTCAGCTTCCCTTCTCTTCTTTGGCCTGAATTGCCTCAGGTCCTTCAAACTTCCAAAGGGCTCTTGGTTGCTGGTAGAATGACCTGTGTGGCATGAAAAGACCTTTGCAGTCTGGTCTCATCTGTTCTTGCCCAGCCTTTCTACAGGGGATTTTCATAAACTCTCCCAGCGAGCCCCTAGTCTTCCCCTACCCCACACATGCTAACCCCTCCCTCTACTGAGAAGGGCTCTCCCCTCTCAGTGCCTTTATTATTTCCCTGACCCTGCTCTTTGGTCAGTGTGTATGTTAAGTTCAATCTATCCCTAAGCCCTCCTGTGTCTCCCAGCCCCAGGGACCGGCACCCACCACGCGAACTCACCACTCAGCCTCCTGTGCTGTCCCTAGGTCATAGTTGTGCGAGCATAAGCCCAGGACACGTGCACCGGCCACCAGGACAGGAAGGACCCCTACTGCACCTGCTCACCCAGAGCCGCGCACCTGTCCAGGCCCCTTCCCAAACAGCAGGCCCTTCTGCAGTCTCTGGAGCTATGTGTCCTGCAGGTGCCACTGCCATGTGCCACTGCTCTGACCCATCCCTAGGGAGGATGTCAGCGTGAGGTGCAGCCAGGCAGCTGGCCCCTTGATATACTGCGCTTCTGTCTCACTAACACCAAAGTTGTGCAGTGGCCTGTGGCACAACGGGGAACAGTGGGGTGATGGCTGCTGCTTCTTTTTTGCGCTCCACTAATTGGAGAGATTCCAGGACCGTGCCCCACTTAACTGCCAAGTTGTGTGTGACCAGCTCTTGCGTTTTACTTAGGGTGATGACCCCAGGTTGTCTATGCCCTGGCCCTGAAGAGGAAGGGAGAGCTGGTTAAGAATTGGGCACCAGGGCATTCCTAATCCCCAGCTGGAGATATTTCAGGCCAGGCTGTATCTTCTGCAGTGACGGTGAGGAGCGCGGGGCCGACTAGGGGCGGCCATCCTGACTCCCTGAAACCCCAGACCCCAGGCAGCCAGCTGAGCATTCCCTTCCCACAGCCCGCCGCTCTGCACATCTGCAGTTTGCAGTCTCCACAAAACTCCCAGATACCTTTCCCCTCTTTTTAAGACCTGAGAGGGAAATTTTCCTGGGAAATTTCATCCATGATTTGCCTCACAGAGACAGGATGTGACAGGCACTTCCTCCTTTTGTCTATCTTTCTTGGTTTGTATAGCAAAGGGCAGAGCGAGCAGCATGTGTCTTAAGGTGGAAGGTGCATGAGAAATTCTGTCACACCCACTGGTCCCCCCAACTAGGACCAAGACTCTTTACAACAATCATCTCCTTTGCAACGGAGCTGGGATCAGCAGGACTCATCTGCCATTTCAGACTCTCAGCTGTGACCTGCCAGGTATGTGGCTCGTTCTAAATGCCTGCCTAAACGTCCAGCTTTCAGAAGTGGAAAGCAGAAAGGGATGGCTTTTGGAGACAGTGCAGATGGGTCGCCCCATCTTCCCAGCAGGGCCTGGCTGCAGGGTGGGGTGTTCAAAGTGTGGCCACGGGAGACACCCAGTCAGGCAGTCCTGCCTGAGGAGGCAGGAATCTGACCGGTCCCATTTCTCCTTCTGCCTCACCAAGGGTCCCCTTTTAAGGAGGTTCATCTCCCTTAGAGACTAGGGGCAGAAACCCTCTTGTGGGCCTCCTGAAATCAAGCCGAAGCCAGCAGCAAGCATCAATCACCAGCAATGGACGGTCAGGCACTGAGGGACACTGAAGGAGGAAAAGGTGCCAGAGTGAGAAACCCCACTGTGGGGTTCACAGCGTGGGGCACTGGGAGTGGGAGGGGGTGAAGCACACAGCTGCTGCACGGCCCAAGCTCGCCAAAGTAGCAAAAGCAAAAGCAACCTGTGCAGAGATGCTCAGGAACAGAGGGACTGGTGGTTAAGAGAGAGCATCAGGTGTTTTTCAGAGCTGGAGGTGCAGGAGGAGAAAACTGGAGTGGGTTTGGAGCGGGGCCAGCGAGACAATGAGGAGAGAAATGAGGGGGAAACAGGCTTCCCCCGGGGGTAGAGTGGCAGCATTTCTTCAGGACCAGTGTGCACGACCCTTATTCTTTCCTGGGTCTTCAGGAGGGACCTGCTGGAGACTCTCTGGAGAGCAGGGAGAATGCACCTGCCAGCCGTGCTCAGCTGCAGCCCAAGACTCTGTTTCTGGTTGTCCCCCCCTTCATGGGCTCCTCCATCGTCCTCTCCCCTTCCACCCCACCCCCCACCCCCACTGCAAAACCTCCTGGCCGGAACCAGGATCTGAAATCCATTGACACCACAGTGTGAATAGCTGAGATGGGACAGTGTTTCCCCTCTCTAGGGACTTGCTCTCCCCAGTAAAAACCAGAGCCTTTAAATCGCAGAGGTTAGAAGGGCAGCAGGAGGGAGAAGGGTGCCCTTGGGGCCTTCAGCCCTCCAAGTCCCTTCAGGAAATTGCCAGACTCACTCTGTTCAAAGCTTTCAAGGCATGTCGTTGTGTGTTGGAAGCAAAGTGACCACAGGTCATGTGCCTTCTGTTCCAGAAGATGCTGCTCACAAGCTTGAAGGGAAACTCAGGTTTTGAGTGGGTTTTTTACATTTTTGTTCATTTGTTGGTTGGTTGATTTGTCTTGGGGCCGACACCTGGGGACTCGAACCTCTTCAGTGCACGTGATGCTGTTGGGCCAAGTGCTGCAGTGTGTGGCCAGGCGGTCCCTAACAGGGGTCATGATGGTCCGAGGGACAGGAGACTGAGGCCGTGCCCAGTCCTGACACATGGCACAGCAGTGAGGAATTTGTATTCCAAGAAGTTTAGAGCTTGGGGCTCCACCACCTCGCTGCGTGTGGACAGGTCACCTAGCCTCCTTGTGCCTCAGTTTCCTTGTCTGGGATTTGGACCCCTGGCAATAATAATCTAACACTTCTGATATAGTTCAGTGATTGGTAGATACTAAGTTCTCAATTTGCACTAATTTTCTATTGTTCTCTGTGTGTGTGTATGTGTGTACACAGCCTCCTCCTCCTGCAGCCTCATGACAGAAATCACATGGGTAGTTCATGTGGCTGGCTGGGTGGCTCAACTGGTTGAAGCATCATCGTCATCCCATACACCACAAGGTTGCAAGTTCAAACCCCGGGCAGGGTGCATACAGGAGGCAACCGACTGATGTTTCTCTCACACCTCTCTCTCTCTCTCTCTCTCTCACACACACACACACACACACACACACACACACACACACACACACGGGTATATCACAGCAGACAACTATGGTCCTGCAGTAGTTTCAGGGTCCAGCCAGTTGAGCCAGGGCTGCAGCAGGAGGACTCACGCTAACAATCAATGCGAGTCTTTTTTTTTTAAATTTATTTATTTTTTAAATTGATTATGCCGTTACAGTTGTTCTATTCCCCCCTTCATTCCCCTCCACCCTGCCCCCCATCCCCATCATTACCCCCCTTTAGTTTATGTCCATGTGTCTCAAGTCCTTTAGGTTCTATATTTCCCATGCTATTCTTGCCCCCCCCCATCTATTTTCTATCTACTGTCTATGCTACTTATTTTCTGTACCTTCTCCCCCCTTCTCCTCCTCCCACTCCCCCTGTTGCTAACCCTCCTTGAGATCTTCATTTCTTGTTGCCACTCCTGATCTAGCTGTCCTTTTAGTTTGCTTTCGTTTTAGGTGTGGTTGTTAATAACTGTGAGCTTGTTGTCCTTTCACTGTTCATGTTTCTTTAACTTCTTTTTCTTAGATAAGTCCCTTTAACATTTCATATAATAAGGGCTTGGTGATGATGAACTCCTTGAATTTGATCTTATCTGAGAAGCACCTTATCCGTCCTTCCATTCTAAATGAAAGTTTTGCTGGATAGAGCAATCTTGGTTGTAGGTCTTTAGATTTCATGACTTGGAATATTTCTTTCCAACCCCTTCTTGCCTGTAAGGTCTCTTTTGAGAAATCAGCTGACAGTCTGATGGGGACTCCTTTGTAGGTGATTGTCCCCTTAGCTCTGCTGCTTCTAGGATTCTCTCCTTCATTTTAATTTTGGCTAATGTAATTATGATGTGCCTTGGTGTGTTTCTTCTTGAGTCCAACTTTTTTGGTATCTCTGAGCTTCTTGAATTTCTTGGAAGTCTATTTCCTTTGCCAGATTGGGGAAATTTTCTTTTATTATTTGTTCAAATAATATTTCCACTGGTGGCTGTGTCTTTCCCCCTTCTGGTACCCCTATAATTCGGATATTGGAGCGTTTAAAGATGTCCTGGAGGTTCCTAAGACTCTCCTCATTTCTTTGAATTCTTGCTCCTTGACTCTTTTCTGTTTGGCCATTATTTGCTTTCTTCTGGTCCACTCCATTGATTTGAGTCCCAGTTTCCTTTTCATCGCTATTGGCTTCCTGTGGAATTCCATTCATTTCCATTAGTTTAGCCTTCATATGTTTGTCTAATTTGTGGCTATAATCAACCAGATCTGTGAGGATCCTGATGACCAGTGTTTTACACTGTGTGTCTGAGAGTTTTGCTATTTCTTCGTCGCTTAGATTTATCTCTGGGGCTTTGAGGTCTTTTTGCGACATTTTTGGTCTGTTCTGGCCCTTTAAGTGTGAGAAGCGGCACCTTGAACTCCCAGGTCGCTGGGTTGTGATGCTGTATGTGGAGGCGTGGTCAGAGCGGGGAAATGGTGGCGCCCTCTACCGCCACGGCCGGTCCAACCGCCCACTCCCTCGCCTGTCCGCTGGCACGCAAATAGGCGACTGCAGTCAACACGCAGCACTGCCTCCCCACTGTCTCCTCTGCAGTCGCTCACCTGGTGGGTTGCTCGGTCGCTCACTATGTCCAATCCTGCGTTTGGAACCCGTGCGTCTGGATTCGCGCATCTGGATTCCGAGCCTGGGTCCGTTCGACCGAGTCCTCCTGTGCAACCCCTCACCAGACGCCGGTTTCGCCCCTTACCGGTCGGGCTGAAGAATTTGTTGTTAACGGACTTCTGAAAAGTTCAATTTTCCGTGTTCTGGTTGTGTTTTCTGATGCTAATATTTAGTTGTCCCTAAACTTGGTTGTGTGAGAAGGCACGGCACATCCACCTATACCTCCATCTTAGCGGAAGTCCCTCAATGCGAGTCTTGACTGATTCCTCAGAACCCGGCCAGTCTCAGGGGATCTGTAAGGTGTCCTAGGCCCCCCTCATCTTGGCAGGGACTTGGCAGGTGCTGATAGACCTTTGTGGCTTTGTCCTCCTGGAGCTCCAGGTCAAGAGTCCAGAAGAAATGACAGGCCTAAAGAGAAGAGAAAGGAACAGTGAGAGAAAATGCAAAGCCAGTGTGCACCCCCTGCTCTGGGGGTCTTTGCTGCTGATTTCCAGGCCTGACACATACACATTCCTGCCAACAGCCAGAAAGGGGAGAGTCCAGACCACCTGGCCAGAGCCTGGACCCCGGTGCAAGGCCTCAGTCTGCTGGTGCGAATAGTCATTCCAGTAGCTGCTAGCCATTGAAACAGCCAGGACCCCTCCAGAAGGGACTCAGCCTCCTTCCCCACAGAGGCCCCTTCTGAGCACAAATCAAGCCAGTCCACCTTGCCTCCCTCCACCTTCCCACCTGCATGTGAGCTCCAGGAGAGCAGGACCCCTAGCCACTGGCCCACTCCCTCACAGTGACCACCCCTACATCCATTCTATTTACATGGGTTCAGGTCCTTCCAGGTCAGGGGTCACCTGGGGAGTCTCCCCTATCCCATGAAGTCACCCACACTCCTGCTCTGCCACTTTTATGTGGGCCAGCAGCTTTCAAGTCCTTCACCTAAACCAGGGGTGTCCCATGTGCGTACCGCAGGCCACATGCAGCCCAGGACGGCTGTGAACGTGGCCCAACACAAAGTCGTAAATTTACCTAAAACATTATGAGATTTTTTGTATATGATCACACGTCATAATGTAGTCAATGTGTGGCCCAAAATAACTCTTCTTCTTCCAGCCCAGAGACGCCAAAAGCCTGGGCACCCCCAACCCCTGCCAGCGGCATTGCTGACAGTGCAGCAGAGGCCCTTCAGCCACAGGTCCCTGGAGCATGTGCTGTGTCACAGGCCTGTGTGACAAGGGAAACCAAACAGTGCTGTGGGGTGGCCAAAGGAAGGACGAGGGAGGCGGAGGACACTGAGAGTAGGCACTTGATGGGGCTCCCCTCTCCCCCAGGGGTGCTATGATGGTGTGAAGGCAGAGGGGTGCTGGCCCTGGAAGATGCTGGGGAGTGGCTATTTGGAAAGTGATGGAGCAGAGAGAGGAGGTGCTGACTTTTGGTCAGAGCACCCAGCTGACCCATGGTGGGTTAGCAACCTCCGAGTTGACATTGGTTTCTTCCATTGTCCGAGCAAAGAAATTGAGGTTCAGCCAGTTACGAAATCTGCCTAAAGTCCCACAACTAAACAAAGGACAAACATGGAGAGCATCACATATCTCCCAAGATGTATTGGCTGCTCACACTCACTGGCTGTCAGATTGTGAGACTCTGCGGGTCCCAAGCGGGTGTCAGGAGTAGGAGAGGACAGCCCTCACCTGTCCTGGGGCTGGGATTCCTGGGTCACAGATCGGGGGAAGGGGTGCTAGATGGAAGCACACCATCACTGTGGCCTCAAAGATGCTATAGACTCAGGGACGCCCACCAGCTAACTCCTGGAGGCCACACCTGAGGTTTCAGAACTGGAGGAAGATGGCCCAGGTGTGGGTAAAGCTGGCCAGCAGCTGCCAGGTGTGTGTCCCATTCCTGAAAGATCAGCACTTCATGTTTGTTCCTCTGTTTTGTGGACCTGACATTCTAAGCCAAGGGAAGTGGGAGCAAGGTGGGGCCGGCAGCGTAAAAATGCATGTGAGAGTGTTTATAGATTTCCCTTTGTTTGTAGATAGTCACTATATCCTAGCGGAGCCACACAGTACACCGTGTGGCTCTATTTCTGGTTCTAAAACAATGTGAACCTCAGAAGCTGCTTCCTCTGGGACCCTGCGGCTTCGTGAGGCCAAGCGAAACCGGTGAAGCAGTGAGCAGTGCTGCCTGGTAAAATTAGAAGCAGCTCTCACATCCGGTTGCAGTTTAAAAGAAGCCAGGCATGGGGTTGGTAAGAACCAGACAAAAGATAACTGAGGCACTGACAGACCTCTGGCCTGACAGGCCCGGTGCCGGCTCCCCTGCGTCACCCCAGGGTCCCTGTTTCCCTCTGCAGGCGGCCTCACTGCTGAAGAGATGGCGGGCTTCCCAGCCTCCCTGGACTCCTTTGGGCGGGCGCCTTGGCCCAGCGGTCTCTTGTTCCACATGCTCCTCCTCCTCCAGCCTGGGGAGCTGAACTCAGGTAGTGCATCCCACCTACAGCCCAGCCACCCAGGAAGTGAGCACATCCGCCTCTGCCCACACCTCCTGCAGGTGCTTGCAGGGCCGAGGCAGTGTAGCCACACCAGGTGCTAGTATTTAGAGATTTTCATCCCAGTGGTGTCCCTGGCCAGTGCTCCTCCAGCATCTCAGCCACCCAGCATTCCTACATACCCCAGCTACCCCACACTCTCAAGCATGGCAGGGGCAGAACAAGAGGGTGCCCCAAAACTCGTATCAGTCTGTTCTTGGGCTGAATCAGTTGGAAAATACTCGTAAATCTACCTGTGCAGCTGCGTGTGATCAGGCTGCAAGAGAGGTGTACCTGAAGATTTGGGAGCACAGCTAAGAGAGTTGTTTGTTTTTTTCCAGAAAGCCAAGAACTGTAGATAGCAGGAATTATTTGAGCAGAGCTTTGCAGGATCCATCTTCTCTAGAAAGATGACAGATGGAGGGTAAACTGAGACAGGATGCATCCAGGGAGAGAGCCAAGCACCACGTGACAGGGAGAAAAGCTGGAGAGGGAAGCTGACTGGAAGTGTGCTGGGTCTTCACCTGGTGGCAAGAAGAGGTCTCATATGCGGTGGACAAAGAAAGGCACTGCCCGCAGTGCCCAAAGAAAGGCCCGCAAAGTGAGAGTGGGAGGGATACCTGAAGGGAGAGCTCAGGGTGAGGTTTTAGTCAAGCTTGGGGGGCACATAGTTTTTAGCTGAGCTTCGAAGACAGGAAAGGAGGTGCACAAAAGGCAGAATGACGAGGGTGACCCACAGGGCAGCAGGACCCGGAGCACCTCGGCCCTGCAGCCATAACCTTGACTTTCATGGACATAGCAGAAAACAGTCTAGCTTGGGGGACTGCAGGGACCAGATGGGGACATCATCAAAGAGGAAGACTGAATGATAGATCCTGGTGAATAGAAATCTGCAAGGCAGGGTTTGACCTTTAGAATAAAAAGAAAAACCAAGCAAGGAGCCCCACCCACAGATTGTTTTAAAACCGTTTGTTGGTATAGAATCTGTGAACATGCACACTAGAAAAACAGGAAAAGCAGACAAAACAAAGAAAACATCTATTCCCACTATGCAGAAATTACCAATTCATTTCTTTCATGACAATTACTTATGCAAGACACCTGACAGGCTCAGGCTGCCCTGTCCAGCATCTTAACCTCCCTCATTTGAAGGGCTTGCTGCAGATTTCTGAGCTACAAAACCTTCATGGAGAGCTGGTTTTGGCCATTCTTCTGGCTTCTTGTCCTAGAGGAGCTCCAGGTGATTGGCCCTGAGGCGTCCATCCTGGCACATGTCGGGGAAGAGGTGGAGTTCCCGTGCCACTTGCCCAGTTACCAGAGCGCAGAGCACATGGAGATCCGCTGGTTCCGGAGGCAGACCTCGGAGGTGGTGTACCTGTTCCCTGAGCCACAGGAGCTCCCCGGGCAGCAGATGGAGCAATTCCGGAACAGGACCAAACTCTTAAAAGATGACCTCGCGGATGGCACAGTGATCCTGCAGCTCCGCCGTGTAATCCCCGCCGACCAGGGCCCCTATGGATGCCTCTTCCTCTCCAGCAGCTTCTCTGGGGAAGCTGTTTGGGAACTGGAGGTAGCAGGTGCGTGGCCTGGTGAGCGCCCGCACGAGGGCTGTGGGGGGAGGGGGCATGCGCAGGAGAGGGTGCATTTGGCTAGAGCCGCTTTGCTCCAGAGTAGACAGGGAAGCCCAGGCAACAGGGGAATAGCTCTACTTAAAAAATAATAATGAATTAATTAAAAAGAAAGATACATTCGAAAATTTAAAATTTGTTCATGAGAAAAGATACACAAATGGCCGTTAAACATATGGAAAGATTATCAATTTGGCTCAGAATGGGGGGCAAATTAAATCCACAGGGACATGCAATGCTTTACCTCTCAGACTGGCAAAAATTTAAAAATTTGAGCCCACACTCTTGATGAGGCTGTGGGGGAGCAACCTTGCCTGCTCTGCACCATGCTGACCAAGTTCAAAGTTAAAATGCTCCAGCGCCTGGGAATTTGGCAATGACAGGATTGTCTGTGCGCCTCTCTTTTGAACACCAGCTCCCCCTCTAGTTTACCTCGAAAGTACACCTCCCACACTTAATGTGGGAAAGGCAGGTGTAAAAGTTTAAGCTTTGTAGCATTGCTTGTCGTTGCAAATCAGCAGAAATAACCTGAATGCGCAAGCGCGGGCACTGACCTAGTACATGCGGACCGATCCACACCAGGCAGCTGAAAACATGAGGCGGAGCTCCGTGAACGGGTGTGGAGTGATTTCTAGGTTGTGGCTAAGAGAAAAGAAGTGAGATGCGTACGATGGTCTGTAGTTTGTAAACGTCTGTGTAAGAATGAAGGAGAAACACAAAGGAAACACAGGGAGGATAAACCAGGAACTCATGAAAACAGTGTGACCTAAGGGAGGCGGTGCAATGGGATGGGAAGGATGACAAAGGTCTGGGACTTTCCTGACAAACTTTTTTTTTTACAGTACTGGCATTTAAACCATATTAATGTTTTGCATATTTAAAACATAGAGCCAGCACCTCGAGGATGGAACGATAAAGGAATACGTATATCACAAGCATTGTACTTGAGCTCTGGGGGCATTCAGGAGAGGGAGAAGACCATCTGTTGAAATTTGGGGAGAAATTATTCTTTTTTCTCCAGGACTGTCCCTTGCGTAATATGACTGTCAGTAGCCCCTTTCAGTCCAATGGACCCCCTCCATATTTCCAAATGTCCCTCAGGGCTAGTACTGTCCCCACATGTCACCACTGGTGCAGACTGTCATTTACAGTACACGGGTGGGGGCTATGAGCCCCCAAGTATGTGAAGAGAAGTCACAGTTATGATTCCCTATGGTGACTGCAAATGATGAGCTTTGCCCCCAACTTCTGGGAAGGAGCCTAATATTTCCCACTCCTCCCTCCTCTCTCCCAGGGATGGGGTCAGACCCTCACATCTCCCTTGAGGGCTTCAAGAAAGGAGGCATTCAGATGCGATGCAGCTCCAGTGGCTGGTACCCCAAGCCCCAGGCTCAGTGGAGAGACCATCGGGGACAGTGCCTGCCTCCTGAGTCAGAAGCCATCACCCAGGACGCCCAGGGCCTGTTCAGTCTGCAAACATGGGTGGTTGTCCAAGAGGGGGCGCACAGCAACGTGTCCTGCTCCATCCAGAACCCCCTCCTCTTCCAGAAGAAAGAGTTCACAGTCCAAATAGCAGGTCAGTGGGTGCTGGCTCACCTTCATCTTCCTAACCATCACAGTGTCCATGTCCATTGTCCCAACAGCCCTCTCTGAGGACACAGTGGTACAGGGTCTGGCTGTGTACAGCAGGACTGTCACATTCATTGTCACCGGGGGCCACATCAGCCTCGAGGCTGCCTTCAAAGGGCCAAATGTAATTTTAGGACTGTGTAAATGTCACTGCTCCTTAACTGGGGGCAAGGAAGAGTGACAAGAGCTGGTGGGGTGTGTATGTGGATTTAAAAGTGTTGGGTCAGGGGAGAAGTCAGTTAGGCAAAGAGTTGGAGGTGAGGCTATTTTCTAACATCAGAGTCTTTTCATGAGGCGCCCACTGAAAGGTTTAATGTTTTCAACTCTAACCGTTTTAGGTCTTGGGGACAAACCCAACCTATGGGCCACATCCCACATGGGTCCAAATTAATAGTTACATTACAATCACAGAAAGGAGCCTCACCCTTGTAAGTAACAACCTGTCCTCAGGTAGGACGACTTCACAGCACACATGCTCATTCAAAATACAGCTGGTAATTGGGGCGGCCATCTGGGGTAGCTAATTCTCTTCCTCCAAAGGAAAGGTAAAACATTTCATATCTTTTTGATAAGAATGTAGTTACACCCTGGCTGGAGTGTCTCAGCCGATTGAGCACCAGCCTGTGTGCTAACAGGTCACGGGTTCGATTCCCATCAGGGCACATGCCTGAGTTGTGGGCCAGGTTTTTGGTTGGGGGTGTGCAAGAGGGAGGAAAAAAAAAAGAATGCAGTTACATCTTGAAGCCAGTTAAACCCCCAGGACACAGAAATGGAGGTGCTTTCTCCAGGGTGTTTACATTTCAAGAAAAGTCTCCAGAAGAGAAACATTCCTGACAGGCAAAGCTGACAAGAGGCTTATTTACCTTTCAAATGGATTTGCATACATCTCAACAGGATAGAAAAAAGATTTCCAAGTTTCTCTAAGGAAATGGTTTAAGAAAGGGAAAGCCTCTTTCACTTTTTGCATCAGGGAAATTTCTTTTTTTTTCTTTTAGATTTGTGTTCATCCTTTATAAAGGGTGGGAAGCACAGGGATATCTGTTGGGGGGCATTCAGGTCTAGGGAACAGCAAATGCAAAGGACCCCACATGGGAATGTGTGTGGTTCCTGGAGGAGCAGGAGGTGGGACAGGAGGGAACAGGCACAAGATCAAGGGCAGCTGGTCAGAGCAGCATCAGACCCTGAGTCTCAACCTCTAGGTCACCGCTTAGCGAACCGCATGTGGTGAAGGACCAATCTGTTGTGGACCAATAGCTTTGCACCAGACAATAAAAACACACAGTTAGGAAATTTTTCTTGAAAAACACAAGAGCACATTGAGCCAAGTGAAATAAGCCAGACACAAAAGGATGAATGTTGTAAGATTCCACCTTTATAAGGTACCTAGAGCAGTCAACTCACAAGATGGAAGGGAGAAGAGAGGTTCCCAGGGGCTGGGAGGAGGGGAAATGGGGAGTTCGTGTTTAATGGGGACAGATTCCAGGTGGGGAGGGTGAAACAGTTCTGGTGGCAAGGTCGCCCAACGAGAACGCCCTTAATGCCAAGGAACGGGACGCTTAAAAATGGTTAAGAAGGTGCATCTTAAGTTATGTATATTTAAACAACAATGAAAAGGAAAAATATTTTAAAAGACCACTGAGATAAAAGCATCTATAATTTCCTTCAACAGACAGGAAATTGCTCTATCAAGTTGCCACAAGCTTTTCTAAGGGGTTATTCTCATTGTTCACCTGTTGACCGCCGGCAGAGGCCTCCCTAGGGAACCTGGGGAGGGGAGAAGGTGCTGCCAGTCCGCCCCCACGCGGCTTTGCTATCAGTTCTCCCAAAGGTGTGAGAAGTAGAAGCCAGGTGTCTGCCAGGAGCAGGAAGATGTCTGTGAACTCACCGGGTTTCCATGTCCACAAAACACCTTGCATCCAGATGCGAAGTGAGAATGGGAGGAAGCAGAGGCAAATCCGGGCCGTGGTCACAGCAGTTGGAGGCACTCCTTCCTTCCATCCCTCAGTTGGCAGTGCTTTCCCTTTGCACGGACCTAGTGCACGTCGCACGTGGCAGCCGCCATCTCGCCCATTGGACAGACGGCCCTGGGGCCCAAGAGCTTAAGTCGCCAGCTCTTCCTTGCTAGGATTTTCCAGCACCTGGAGCCTCCGCACCTGAGTGTTCTAGGCGCCTAAATCCAGACAACTCTCTCTGGGTGTTTTCCAGACATTTTTCTACCCGGGCCCTCCCCGTGGAAGGCAGCTTTCCTCGGGACCCTGGTGGGCGGCCTGACGCTGCTGCTGGCCCTGCTCGCGACACTGGCGCTGTGCTGCTTTCACCGGCAGCAGCGGTCCCAAGGTACCGGCCTGCGGGGTGCTGGTCCGGTGCTGCCTGGAGCGGGAAAAGGCGCGGGGCGGGGCGAGGCGGTGGAATCCGCGGGGTGGGGGGGTGGGGGGGGCGCGCACCCAGTCCACCCCCTTCCTTTTCCGTTTCAGAAAAGCTAAAGGAGCAAGCGGACACGGACAAAGGTGAGTGGGGACAGCGGCGTGCCCTCCGCCCCCGCCTTTGCCAAGCAGAGGGGGGCCCTGGGGCAAAGAAGGGAGGAGGTGGCCCCAGTGCCTGCGAGCTGGGCAGACAGACCAGTGGCGAGGTTGCGCTCTCCCCTCTCTCGGCCTCGGAGTGCGCTCCTGCTGCGCGTGCAGCCCAGCCTAGTCTCAGAATGCACGCGAGTCTCCGCGCTTTGGGGAAGCGAATGGTCAGTGTTCTTTGATCGAGATCTTCCTCTTTTCTTCCTCTTTTTTCAGGGAAACTCACTGCAGAACTGGGTATGTTCCTGATGCCGCGCCCACCGCTCTGGCTGCGGGCTACGGGGGTAACGCGGAGCGCGCTGCGGAAGGAGGGGTTCAGTGACTTTAGGCGCCCTTTGGAAAGCGATGTATGGCAGGATCTAATTTTTAACGCACTCCGTTGAGCCTCCCACCTCCTGACTCCCAAAGGGACTCTAGAGAAGCTGCCAGGGAGGCCTGGCCTTAGACCCTCTGGACCGACCCTGCCAATGATACGATTCACTCACAATTTTCCCGTTAAATGTTGACTCCCACTGACTGGCTTGTCTTCCTAGGATGTCCTTCTTTTTTTAATGCAAATGCCACTGTGAAGGGTGGCACCTTGAACTTGCACAAAAGTGTGTGTAGCGTAAACACAGTATAGTCTAATTTAGTGCAGAGAGCTGCCTTTCCCAGCAGCATTTACCCTTTTAAAAGACAAGGGATGCATTTCTAGTGGCAAACTATCAGTGTGGGCCTCCAGCCATGGGAAGCGATTCAGTGTGCTGTCTCTCCAGTTCTTGAAGCAACGTGCTCACCCTGTAGGTGACCCTGAGGCTCAGGCAGGCTGTGCTTAGTGCCTGGACATACCCGAGAAAGCTAGTGATTTCCAGGCAGACCAGTAGCAGCCCCTTCAAACCAGACCCTTCAAACTAGACCTGAGCCCTGGGAAGAGGCTCCTCAGTGCCAAGCCCTGTTCTCCCCACCTCCACCCCCGCCCTGTGCCGATTTCTGCCCTGGAGCCAATAGGATGAGGCCTCAGAATTTAGCCAATGGGCAATGCAGAGTCTCAGGTGGGAATGGGGTGAGCAGTGGTTTAAGACTACGGGGCATCTTCCCAGGGACCTGCTTGCCTTGGGGAGGTGGCTCCAGGCAGCCCAAGGCTAATGCTCTCTCTGTGTGTTCTGCTTATAGGGAAGCTGCAGGCGGAGCTCAGTAAGTGGCCCCTCTTAAGACTATCTTTCCTTGCCCACCATTTAGCAACTGGTTATCCCTGTAAGTTCTTCTCCTCTCCCAACCAGGTATGATGGCCAAGCTGGAACTCCACTTGCTCTGGACAGGAGAAGGGGGGAGGAGGGCAGGGGTGAGTGCAAATTTGGAAAGTGAGCCAGGGAGCTGCAGAACCCCCATGTTCTAATCTTGTTTTTCCTTAACTGCTTCAGACTGGAGAAGGGCTGAAGGCCAGGCCGGTGAGTGGGACCCGCTTCCCTCCCATTGTCTGCTTTACCTCTCAGCACACCAGTCCCTGTCTCTGATTAACCAACCACATTCCATCCTGGTTTATGCCACAGCCTCACTTGGCCTGAATTGACCTATGTCACTGGTAAAGGCTATCTCTGAGTTTTGTTTTTATAATGTTTCCTATTGCCCCGGGGTGCAAGCATACTGCAAACCGCTGGTGCCAGTCCTGGTGGCACATAAGAATCCCCCGGGCTCCCGGTGCCCACCCTCCAAGACTGGGGTGGGCATGTCACCCCACATGTAACCATTTCTCCCTGTATCTCCCTCTATTTCCCCATAAAGCAAGCCATCTAACATCTGTCTTTATATGTATTCTTGCAAAATGTGGTGCTCCGTTTTGTGCACATGCATTTTAGTTTATGTAAATTATTTTTACATAAGTAACTTAAATGCCTGGGGGTGTTCCTGGCTTTTCTCACTCACGTTTTAATATCCATCCTGCTGCTGTGTGCACACCTGGCCCGTTTTTCCCTCTGGTTGCCGGGCCCTGCATTCAGCCAGCCCCCCTCCTGGAGTGGCAGCCAGCCCTCCTCTAACTCCACTCCACACAAACAACACAAGCATGTTGCCTTCGGGCCGTGTGGAGATCTCTCTGGGAGGTACACTGGGAGTGCTGGCCCACGGAGGTATGTCACCAAGTGGGACAGAGCGACCCCCCAGGCAGTGCCATCATCCTGCCATTGGCAGCGCACAGAGTCCCCGGCCCCCACATCCATGTGAGCTCGCTGAGTCGGGCAGTGCGTGGGGAGGGGTGATTCTCACTGTTCTTTTAGTCTGCACGCCCCTGAACACTAGGGAGTCTGGGCATCCCTTTTATGCTATTGGCCGTTGGAGATTCCTCTTCTGAACAATGCCTGCTCATGTCCCTTTGCCAAGTTTGCACACAGGGCTACCATCCTTTTCTTATTGATTCACAGGACATATGTGTATATGTATATGATCTTACTCATTGGTGTTAAATGATAGGAATCCCTTTTTCTATTCTGTTCTCTGCCATAAGCTTGGTCCAAGGTGCCTCTTATTGAAGTCTTCGCTTTTGATAAAATCTAACTCATCACATGTTTTACCTCTGGCTTGTTCCTTTGAAGTTTTGTTGAAGTAAACCGTCCTCACGTTTAAGTCACAAAGATTCTCTTACATTTTCTTCTATTCACTTCATATGTGTAGGGCCTTTAATCCATCTGAATTGTGCCATTATATGTGGCGTTGGGTGGTAATCCAGTGATTTTGCTCCATGTCGAGAGCTGATTTTCTCAATGCCACCTGCTACACCCTCCTAGATTTCCCCACTGATGTGGCTGTCACCTTTTGTGTGCAGTTGGTGCCCAAGTTCCGGTGGGTCTGTTGGCCACTGGTTACCTTGCTGTTTCTACCTCCATCGCTTTTATCGTACCAAAAGTATGCCATTTCCACTTCCTTTCCAAAGTCAGTGAACCTTTTCAAAACATATGTTTTAGGGTAATTTTATGAAGTTCCTTTAAATCATCCAAAAGTAGTTTTGCACAGGATTGCTTTGAATTCATAGCTAAATTTAGAGAGAATAAACATCTTTATAGAATTGAGGTTTTCTATGCAAGAGCTATATGTTTATGAAGTTCTACTGGTTATTCTTATGAAAACCAGGGTTGAAAATCTCTGCTGTGAATTTGTGGAGCTCTGAGCCATCCATCTTCTATTGCTTTTGCTCTTTTGTGAGTTGGAGATGTCTCTGCTATAAAACAGAACGAGACAAAATGAAGCAGAAATCCACTCTGAACGGCTTGTGTGAAGAAAGGAGGCAAGACACAGTATCTGGAGGCCACGTTAGGACAGGAGCCAGCCTCAGCTGGGCCCCCTGAGGACTGAGCTTGCCAGTCAGACACTGAGGCTGCCTCTCCATCCATCAGGGCTCCCATGCTGCGTGTATTCGTTCTCTTTGCCCCCATGCTCTGCTCTCCCGCCAGTCCCCGCACAACTTCAGCCTGCATGCAGCTTTGGTTATGCACTGACCGCAGCCCCTTTCTCAATCTTGAATGCCTGGAAAAATGCTATGGTGGACCCATGCCAGTCTGGACCTAAACTAGCTGTCACGGTGGGGCTGGGGTCGTTCACTTCTGTGTCCCTCATGCACCTGGAGTCTCTCTCAAGTTTCCATGGTTACTGACTCAGCTCTCTGAGCCTCTTTTTCTTCTCTGTTTGGTTTCAGAGTGGAGAGCAGCCCAACAACATGCAGGTAAGTGAAGCCAAAGAACTGACATGACTCAGATCATCTGGGTCTTAAACAGAGGGAGGTGGAGAGACCTGAGAGTGGAGGAAGGGTCTGCCCAGATCCAAGTATGAGCCTGCACACACAAACACACAGGTGCACTTGCACACATAGGACATGCCCCCACACCTGCAGGTGCATATATGCACACATACATGCTTGTGTGCATACATGTGACTGACTCACACATGCATACATCATTGCACACACACATGTCCCCCACAAGCATGTAGCTTTCTGGGTTTTACTGGGTTTTTTCTTCTGGCAGGAAGGCTGTGTGCAGGAGCGAAAGCCAGAGTTTGTAAAGAACCTTTCAGGTGGTCTGGCAGAAGGGATACTTTGGGGTTGTATCCATGGAAGGAGTGTGTTTGGCAGCTGTGGGGATGGAGTACTGAGCACTGGACTCAGAGGCCCCATTCGGGTTTAAACTCCTAGAAGTGCTGTGCAACTGAGGCCCAGAGCTCACCTGATGCTCCCCATGCAGCCCTGGTGGCGAGGCCAGCAAGGCTAAGCACCGGCTTTGGGCTCCTTCCCTTTGACCAGGATTTGAGGGCAGTGAGCCGTTCTCTGTCCCCACGTGCCTTCCTTGTTTGCTATCTCCTCTCCATGGCACCCGGTATAGTGACTTGCATGCCACTTCAGTCCCACGTGTTTCAGGCTGAGGGTGGGTGTGAATATTCCACCAGTTGCTCCACTGACAGAAATATAGGTTGGCCTCTCCCAGGGAGTAGACAGGCAGAGCCCAGAACCGTCCCAGTGGGCAGTAACCAAGTGCCTCTGTGCAGTGGACGTGACCCTGGACCCAGCCTCTGCACACCCCAGCCTGGAGGTCTCCCAGGATGGCAAGAGCGTGCTTTCCCGCGGGGCGCTGCGAGTTCTGGCAGAGCCGGGAGACCCGCAGCGGTTCATGGAGCAGACATGCGTGCTGAGCCGCGAGCGCTTCCAGGCCGGCCGCCACTACTGGGAGGTGGATGTGGGCCGGCGCAGCCGCTGGTTCCTGGGCGCCTGCCTGGAGGCGGTGGCGCGCACAGGCCCGGGGCGCCTGAGCCCGGCCACTGGCTACTGGGTGATGGGGCTGTGGAACAGCAGCGAGTACTTCATTCTAGAGCCGCGGCGTGTGGCGCTCTCCCTGCGAGTGCCTCCCCGGCGCGTGGGCATCTTCCTGGACTGCGAGGCCGGAAAGCTGGCCTTCTTCAACGGGACCGACGGCTCCCACATCTTCACCTTTACCGACACCTTCTCTGGGCCTCTCTGCGCGTACTTCAGACCCAGAGCCCCAGATGGCAGTGAACACACGGACCCTCTCACTATCTGCCCATTGCCTGTTCCAACGACTCGCCTCCCGGAAGAGGATGACGGGGACACCTGGGCACAGCCCTTTGAGTCCTCAGACCTCGCCCTGGACCTGTGGTGAGGTGCCCTCTGGCCGTAGGGCTGGGTCCTGGGCAGCTTCCTCTGGGGTGGAGGAAGCATCGCCAAAGTGCCAGCAAGGGCGTGGGATTCTGCACAGTGGAAAGGAACAGAGAGAAGGATTTGGCCTGTGTAGATGTGAATGTGTTCCCTTGAAATTTTCTCTAAGAAAAAGAGGCGATTCCAAAGCTTGTATGTGTGTATCAGAGGACCAAACGAATGAGTAAGAAGATACTGATGTTGCCGGGACCAGGATGCTCACTGTGGAAGAGGGCAGGAAACTGGGAGGGAAAGAAGGGAGAGACATGATTGGATTAAAGGTATCTGTTAATTTGCATATGTGCATGTTTTTGTCTCTATTTTCCAGTTTATGAGAAATGAATTCACCTTGGGCTCCTATCCCAGGTTTCAATGTCAATTCCCACTGCCCTGAACTTGGGGAACAGCTGATTCCAGGGCTGGGACTGAGAAAGCCCAAACCTGCTCAGAAACTGATGGGAACACAGCCAGGGGCCATAGAAGCAAGGTTGGAGAGGCTCCACTGACCAGTTGTGAGATAATTAAAGAGAATAATGACAAGACTTGATCGATGAGGGGGAGAGCAAATAAATTTCACAGAGTGTGTCGAAAGTCAGGATTCTCAGAGAAAGAAAATACAAAAAATGCAGGAAAAATACAAGAAAGAGGAGGAAGAGAGGGAAAGAATGACTGTGAACTCATGGTTTTGACTCCATAGAGCTAGATGGAACACACGCATGTGGTCAGTGGGTGCATGGATGTGTGGGAGCCCACACACTGCTCCTGGCTCTGCTTTGCAGGCTTAGAAGCAATAACACCCCAGCGCATCCAGCTCTCAGAACCTGTTTTTTGTGCTATTTTCTACTAAAAGGAACCAAGGCTCCTTGGAGAAATGACAGACTCTGGATCTGGGGAGGGCTAACAGAAGACATGTGTGATATTATCACATATATATGTGTATACATATGGTGCAGCACAATTAACACCCCTCTTATTACATAATCTTTTAGTACAAAATCATAAGCATGTAATTCTGTAACATAACAATATCACACTCAAGCCCACCATAGGACATTTTAGGTGAAATGTTCAAATTAAAAGTATAAACTAGTACACCCATATTATTACCCTGCCAACCACACTTAAGCAGGCATCACTCCTGCATATCCCTGTATATGAATCCAACCAGAAGGTATCCAGCCATGCACCAGGAAAAACAAAGACACTTATTGAAGGAGATATAAGATACAAGAAAAATTGTACACAGGAGAGTGATGCCTCAGTCCTCTTTAAAGTAGGCACCTTGGGACCTCACACGGTTCTCCCAATCATCATCAGCTGCCTCACTCTATTGCCTGAATCTCAGTGATGTTCTGAAATCTCTTCCCTTTCAAAGGTGATTTTAGTTTTGGGAAAAGCCGGAAGTTGCAAGGCGCTAAATTTGGGCTGTAGGAGGGCTGAGTCACTGAGTGATTTGATGTTTTGCCAAAAAATCTCTGTAGGAGATGTGATGCAGGAGCAAATGCATTGTTGTAATGGAGCTGTCAATCACTGTTGCCCAGAGCTGCAGCCTTCTGAATCATCTGAATAGTAGTTTCCTTGGAGGAATGTTCAAGCTTAGTGCAAAATCTGATGCAGATTCGTTGCTCTACTCACTCGGTCATTTGAATGCAATGGCCACGTAATACACATGCTCACTCAACAGCGTCTACCACCCCTACTAACTAGTACAGTGAAGTCGTCATTGTTCACACATGTGCATTCCAGTCCCCTCTCCTCGGCTGCCAGATTACATGGATGTCACCCAAACTGTTGTCATTATATTAACAATGGGTGGGACTTTTTCTGGACAGACCACGTGTGTGTGTGCACACACATATATAGACTTTGACCTAGATTCTGGCACAGAAATCCCAAAAAACTTGGAATTTCCTAAGTGATAAGAGTACTATGAGAGTCTTGATATTCTTAACAAGCCCCTTTGAAATACACCTCAGGATCTGGTCTGGCTGCCTGAGGAGCCAACTAGGCATTGAAGTTGTAACTTAGCCCCACCCCACCCTGGCTTCAGGGAGGGGCTAGAGAGTGACTTCTGTAGTCAGTGGCCAATGATTTACTGTCATGCAAATGCAGTAAAACCTCCATAAAAGTCCAAAAGGACTGGATTCCAGAGCTTCCAGGCAGTTGAACCCTTGGAGGTTCAGGGACAGTGGCACTCAGAGCATGTAAGCTCTGTGCCCCTTCACAACACCTTGCCTTACGCATCTTTTCCATCCGGCTATTCATGCGTTACATCCTTTTATAATAAACTGGGAATCTCATTAGCAAACTGTTTTTCCAGGGTTCTGTGACCCGCTCTAATAAATTAATCAAACCCAAGTAGGGTGTTGTGGAAACTTCTATAAATAGCCAGTTGGTCGGAAATGCAGGGCATGGCCTGCACTCACAATTGGTGTGTGAAGTGAGAGGGCAGTCGCAGGACCAAGCTCTTTGCCTGTGGGATCTGACTCTGTCTCTAGGTAAATAGTGTCAGAATGGAGGTAATAATTTGGTGGTGTAGAGAAAAAAACAAAACACGTACTGGAACAGTCTAAAACACCTCATACCAAAAGGTATTGCTGAAAGCATGACAGGGAGATGCCAACTGGACAGAAAAGTCAGCTTTAAAGGACTCCCATTGGCCAAATTTGAACATCAAAGTAATTGATGGCAGTTAAAGTTTGAAAAAAATAAGAATCCCAGAGTCTGTGTATTTACACCAATTCCATAAATAAAGGTATAAATAAATAAATGGGAGATGCCATATGATCTCACCTTTAACAGGAAGCTAAACAACAAAACAAATAAGCAAGCAGAATAAAAACAAAAGACACTGAAATAGAGAATAGGGGTACAGTGACCAGAGGTGAGAGGGGAGGGAATTTAAGGGGGGAAAAGGGGAGGGATTTGGAGGAACAAGTATGAAGGACACAAGGACAAGAACTAAAGGGGGTGGAAATGGGAGGGAGGTGGGGAGCACAGGGCCGGTTGGGCTGGAATGGGAGAAATAGACAGAAAACTGAAAAATAAGTAAATAAAATTTAAAAAATAAATGGGAGAGAAGAGAAAGCTCTACCTTACTATTGAAGTCTCAAAGTATCTCCCCCCACAAAATACTAACTACTTATGGGGGGGGCAAAAGTAAGGTTTACAGTTGTTTATATGAAAAATACAATAAATAATAACAATAATAAACTGTTTCCTGTACTTGTGATGGTAAAGCTACTTCGCCTGCCCCTTTATTAATTTAGAAGTACAGACACTTATTAGTCAACTTGATAGTGGAGGAGGCTGTGGCAGATGCCATCTCAACCGTGGGGTCGCGTGGACGTGAATGTGGACATGGCTCCTCCAACCCCCATAAGAGAAGGCTGGCTGGAGGGCCCCTGCCAGAAGGAATGTGTATTGTCTCACAAATGGATTGTAATTCCCTCCTTATCCCCTTTTGGGAATGGCTTCCTGTCCTGTACCTGCCTCCTGACCTTTTCTCCTTCTGCACACACACTCTGAGGTAGGACATGTGCCCCTTTGTCTGGGACCCCTTCCAACAAGTCTTGGACTCAGGGAGACATGGCCCTGCTTCTCTGATCTGCTGTCGCTGCTCCTGCACTGTGAGTGATAAAGGCTACCTCTGCTTCGCCCAGTGCTCATGTGGTTTTTCCAGCTTATTCAAATGAGCATCAAGATCCCCAGGCTTGTCCTCCTGTGTTACATGAACCAGGTGACAAAATTTAACATTACCAGATGGGACACATTTATACCACATGCCTCCTGATACATTGCAGTGTGAAGAACTTTACAAATCGTGAGGAAACAGAAGTGAAACTGGCTGATATGCTAAAAATGTCAAGGTCAGGAGAGACAAGACTAAAGAATTGTTTCAGATGGAAGGAGACTAAAGCAACATGACAACTAAGTACCATAGGTGACTCTACATAGGATCCTGGGGTCTACAAAACACAGTAGTTGGGGAAAAAAGAGACCTTTGAAAATGGCTCCAAATCAGATGATAATATTGGATGTTATTTTTCTGATTTTGATGTAAAAGAATGTCCTTAATTTAAGAATGTAGTCACTTAAGTAATAAGGGGTAATGGGATATGATGTGTGTACCTTATTCTCAAATGGTTCATTGAAAAATATAGTGACATACAGAGAGAATGATAAAGGAATGCAGTAACATCTAGTAAATGTTTAATAACTACCTTTCTGGGAAAAGCTGCAGCATTTATTGATTTCCACGTTGTCGATACTCCCACGGTGGCTGATTTTAAGCTGCAGGGGTGACATTGCCGACGGAGCTGGGAAGGGTGTGCACAATGGACCTTTCCAAGACCCAGCTCCTGCACATCGCTGGTCTCCTGCCATTCCACACAAGGCACTTGGTCATCGCTGTGATTTATTTCTCTAACAAATCAAATAAGTACACTCTGGAGCTTATAAAAATATGCTCAGCCACCTGTTTAACCTTATTAATATACCACATGTAATATTCATAAAAGGGAAGTTTAATTCTCTCTAATCATTTGTATTAACATGCAAATACTTTAGGGTCCTACTCACAAATGTTTTATAACATTACAAATGTGTTCCTGGACTGTATACAATCATCGCCTATTCCTTTAAGATCATTTTTATGTATTAAATAGGAAAAGCAAACATATAGCTAATCCAAAAGGCAACATTAAACTATTTTTAAACAACCAGTTGTTCCAACAGTGCATTTTCAATAAGAGGAAGCCTCCATCCTTGATCTTGGAGGAGATCTTAACTACTTGTTTTGTGAACCATAAAGGTTGTGCCGGAGGCAACCCGGGGGGGCCCCTGACCATTCAGAGTAGACACTTGTCTCTTTCCAACTCTGCCCCTCTGCCCCAAGACCCTCCGGCAAGTTTATAAAATAGGACGTGATGTATTTAGATTTTCCCACTGTTCAAACTTTCTGCACAGCTATCCCGCAGAACTGTGACAGGGAACCCCCCAGGTAGGCATGAAGCCCAACCCAGTGCACAAATGCACCTGTAACCAGTCTGGTTGTGCAGCTTCCTGACCTCTGCACTGAGGTCAGGAAAGAGGCAGCCATATCCTCCCCAGTGCCCTCCCCATTGCTCAGGTACCCCAGCATTGGCTGAACCCCTCACCTGTACTCCATCTCGAAGTGGCTTGGGGACCACTACAGCACAAAGGCTGGGCAAAGGCTGGCAGGGTAGAAAGAGGACCTTGATCTCGACAGTGGGGGTGAAGCAAGTTATCACTGGCCCTACAGGAATCTCACCCAGG